TGCGTATGGATGTCTAGAGTCTCCAATATGTGCGGCAGATTATGTATATATAGAGGGAGAAAGGTTAAGGCCTTAATTAATTAATTTAGGAATGTATTAAGACTCCAAATCCTCCAAGAAAAGGGTAACAAATCAGAATTCTAAGTGGAAAAGGGAAGGAAAGTTGCGGCATTGACTAGAAGAAAAGGGGAAATAAGATATGTGGCAGATTTTGGAAGAAAAAGGTAAGAAAGGTGCGGCTCCATCTTGGACTGAGATTAGAGCTATTAGGACATATATTTAAGTATCCCAAATTGATTTGGTTTGATATCTGGAAATTAAGTAGGAAAGATTAGGATTAGGAAAGGTCAAACAAAAATGGGAAACCTTGGCTTAACTTTCCTACTTCAAGTAGGAAACCTTCTTTGACTAGGAAACCTTCTTTGACTAGGAATCCTTCTTTGATTAGGAATCCTTCTTAGATTAGGAATCCTTCTTTGATTAGGAATCCTAACATCTTTAAGTCTTCAATTTCGTCCATTCCTTTTGCTCCAAAATGCACATTTTTGCTACTTTAGCCATATGAACCTAAAAACACACGAAAATAGCTTAAACTACTAAAGTAACTATGAACTAACAACATAAATGTACGAAAACAAGCTAACTAAGTCGCCTAAATATGCTTCTATCAGCAATCATGGACATGAAAGAACCAGTAACCTCAAAAAACATCCAGAGCCTTACTGGCAAGGTGGCAGCCTTGACCAGGTTCATCTCTAAGGCCACAGACAAATGCGCTCTTTTTTTCAAAGCACTTAAGAGAAGTAAGAAGTACATTACGTGGACCGATGAATGTGCCGAAGCATTTAAGAACCTCAAGGAGTACATGAGTAAAGCCCCTCTGCTTTCCAAACCTGAAGTTGGCGACACCCTAATTGTCTATCTATCTGTCTCAGCTTCAGCAGTTAGTTCCATCCTCATTCATAGGGATGGTAGTATCGAACGACCTGTCTATTACGTTAGCAAGGCTCTACAAGATGCAGAGACACGATACTCCAACATTGAGAAATTAGCTCTAGCATTAGTTATGTCTGCTTAGAAACTTCGCCCCTACTTCCAAGCACAGTCCATCATCGTGCTTACCAATCACCCCCTTCGACAAATACTTCAGAGTCCTGACACTTCGGGGCGAATGATCAAATGGGCCATAGCACTGGGAGAGTTTAACATCTCCTACCAACCAAAGTTAGCTGAAAAGGGCCAAGCAGTTGCAGATTTCATTGCCAAATTCACTTATCCCGTTGACATTTCTCCTACACCTGAGGCAGCGGCTTCATCACCCCTGGAAACCCGGAAGGTAGAACCAACACTCCCAGTATGGACTTTATATGTTGATGGCTCATCCAACCAACAGGGTTGTGGACTCTATATGTTGATGGCTCTCCAAAAACAAAAGTATCTCATATCATCTCTTCTCCCTGTTTCTTCTCTTTATCCTTATTGCTGAATAAGAGACAGGGAGAATGAGTACAATCAGCCGGAACCCAATATCAACCTACCGATCTGAGACTGATTGCTTGGAACCTTGATTGCTTACCTTGTCTATCACTTCTTTTGGCAAATCTCCTCGCTTAGAGACTTGGGGGACTCCTACTATATGGTTTGTATTGCACTTGACCAAACCCGAAACTACAAGTAAGCTTCAAATGAAAATGTTACATTACCTTGTGCGTCAATACCAACCAAAGATACCACTCCTGGATGAAGGAAAAGTACTTCCAAGAGAAGATGCCACATCTACTTACAGGACAGAGAGGGCAAGTGAAGGCGACACCACACTTCGGTACTTGGAAGTTTCGTGATTACTCAATGGCTTGGATCTTGCAAGTCCCCAACCGAGGAGTTTCCCTCACTCGGGAACTTAGGGGAGCATTGTTTGTACCATACTTGACCAATCCCGAAACTACTAAGCACCGGTCAACAACATATTGTCAATGACCCACAAGACTTTTCCTCCAACCAGGAGGCTAATCACAACACGACACATGTTGGTATCAGAAGCCAATCACAGCGCGACACGTGTCGATATCAGAGGCCAATCACAACACGACACGTGTCAATGTCAAAACAAAGCTAGAAACTCTCTTCTATAAAAGGGGATCATTCTCTCACAATAATCCCTAATGTCATTTGTACTAAACTATTCACTAGAACTCACTAAAAGAGAGCTTGAACCTATGTATTTGTGTAAATCCTTCACAACTAATGAAAACTCCTTTACTCCGTGGACGTAGCCAATCTGGGTGAACCACATACATCTTGTGTTATTTGCTTTCCTGTCTCTATTCATTTACATACTTATCCACACTAATGACCAGAGCAACTTAGCGAAGGTCACAAACTTGACACTTTCTGTTGTACCAAAGTCCTCGCCGATTTTGTGCATCAACACAGTGAAATCAAACTTGTGATGTTTTGACAATCCACTAAATGGAGGGAACAAGATTGTGATTGGTGTTATGAGAAATAAAATTTCCAGAAGCATCAAAGTTAGAACATTCGGGGTTCTAAGACATGGTTTATATGAAAATCTTCGGATTTTTATGGGTGTATTCTTTTATGAAAACTTCGGGTTTCAATGGCACTAAATTCGAAACTACAGGTTTGAGTTTAGTTTGAATTTCCGGTTCATAAAAATGAGGTTTCTATAAGAACACATAATACAAGGTACTGATTTAAGTGTAGTGGATTTGGGTTGTTTCAGAAACTCAACTGTGAGTGCTTCGAGACTACGAAAGATAGTCAACGGTTCAAAAAAAAAAAAAAAATTATTGAATCATTAATTGCCAAAAAGTGGGCTTCAGGCCAGTAATTTTAGATGTTGTATCAAATTAGTGGATTGTTAGTCACTTTAATTAATTCAATAGATCGTAACCATTCAGATTTGATAGTAGGAGCAAAATAATGATATTCTACTCATATAAGCTTTAATTGGCTTTAGGCCAAGCAACAATAAAATTATATTTTAATAAGTGTTAACCAATAACGTCCCAATAATTATATGGGTACGGTTATAAAGTGGGGATGCCAAAATATGGCATCGGGGTCGAAAAAGGATGCAGCTCAGCTTGGTTTGGGCTGGCTGCAGTACGCGAGAGAAGGCCTTGCAGCTTGTCTGCAAGCCAGTGAGCCACTAGAATACTACAAGAGCAGCCCAGATATGGCTGCGGGCTATGGGCCGTGGTCTGGGGCGAAGCCCAGCATGCATGGCTGCTGGCAGTGGGCTGTGACACGAGAACCCTAGCCTAAGACTGGCTTCTTGTCGAGAGCCTAGGTGTGGGCTAGCCTAGCAAGCGTCGAGCTTGCTGCAGGTAGGCCAAGGTGCAGAGACAAAGCCCAGCAAGTGCCAGGCTTGCAGGTAGTGGACCAGTGTGCAGTGGACAAACCCAGCAAGGCTGCATGCCTGCTGGTTGTCGGCTCAAGGCTTTAGACCCGTGTAGGAACCTAACCAGGCCGAAGATTGGTTGTTTATGTGGGTGCAGCAAGCCCACGGGGCTGCTGCAGGTGGTCCATGGCATTAAAACGACGTCGTCTAGAGGGATGGTGTGGCTGCAGGCTAGCCAACTCAACTTGGTGCCAGCGGCGTGGAACCGCGGCTCAGCTGCAAAAATCCAAGATTTTTTTAAAATTTTTTTTATTGACACCTAGAGACATCTAGAGTTTGGACACCCTAATTGCTCCTAAATTATTTCAATGCTTTGACTCGAAAATTTCATATAGCATAATTGTGTATTGCATGAACGTGTATATATATATTAACAAATTTATGAACATTTACAATATATATATATATATATATATATATATATATATATATATCAGAAGGAAAAAATAAATGTAGGGGTTCATGCACCATGTGAAATGTTTTCATGTTTCAAATATCTTAATTTATTGTAAAAGAACCTGATTGGCAAAAAACAACTAAGCTGGAAAGCCAGAATTGCATCTCTAATCTATTGTATCATGTTCAACAAAGAAAAATTACATTGAATAAATAGCATGTAAATCAATTCAATAAAATAATAAACTAATCATAAAAGGAATGATTAAAATGTAATATTCCCCTAATTGAAGATCAAACGCTCTTTAGGGTAGCATTAAGAGTGTGCTGATAACGTGTTGGAGGTCTAATTTACTAAATCACTATAAAGGACAATGAAAAAGGGTGCGGCAACTGTTGAGAAAAGAGAGAGATGTAGTCTGAGGTTTATTCCAGCTTATTGTGCCTTTATTTATAGTAGCAGGGAAGGTAAATTCCTTACCTTAATATGATTACAACTCTAATATGATAATATCTAGTCTAAGATATACGGTAGAATCCTATAAGGATATCCTAGATATGATAGGATTTACACAATCTCATTCATAAACTAATAGGACTTCAACATACGCACAATTTTGATTGCATTTTTTGGAGTAGGATTCTCTCACCTCCAAATTTCTCTCCCCTTTTATTTGAACGGTCACTATTAAAATACGTCAATATTTTGTGTTGAATTCTTTATATAGAAAGAAAAACAAACAGTAAAGTGAGAAACAAGGGGAGGAAAAGGGAGGTATTTGAAGGAGATGAGAATCCTACTCAATATTTTTTTCTATGTTTTGATAATCACTTATACTTGATATATATATATATATATATATATATATATATATATATATATATCTGTGAGCGCGCGTGCGCGCCCAATATCTTATATAAGAGGAAAAGGATAAGTGTGTAACTAATTCCATTAGCCTCCAAAACTCGTTGGGAAACATTCCGGAAGTGGCAATACGTGTATATATATAACTTACTCCCCAAGTAATTAGATATATTTCTGGTTAGAGTCGGCAAAGAAAAAGGAAGTAATTTCTTCTCTGGCAAGGATTTTGCATGCCTTTTTAGGATGTTTGCCACCTTTAGTAATTCCATTCGTCACCGATTCATATTTTTGCATCCTAATTTGGTCCACTTTCCTTCCTTAGTTCCCTATCAAATCCATTCTCTATTTAAGCAACGTAATAATTGCATTATATATCTACAAGATACACGTTTCTTCTCTCTATATCTCCTTTTATTTATTTATTCTTTGGTGAAAAGACCTCGCACTTTGATAAGTCTGTAACCAATGAATACAGAAAATAGCACACCGGCAAGAAAACCTTTGGGCAGAGGGAGGATTGAGATCAAGAAGATCGAGAATCTGAGTAGCAGGCAAGTCACGTTCTCGAAACGGCGTAATGGGCTGCTCAAGAAGGCCAAAGAATTGTCAGTTCTTTGTGATGCTGAGGTTGCTGTCATCGTTTTCTCCAGCACCGGAAAACTTTATGAATTCTCAAGCACCAGGTTTGGTTATTGAATTTTATATATTTTTTACTTCGTGATTTTCTTTTATTCTGTTATCTATCACGGTTCAATGTTGTTATCAATAGAAAAATCACAGATTCGATGTGAGATTTTTCTACCTTTCATTTTCTCTTTAATCTTTTGTATGACCTTGTGTTCTTGTTTTTGTATTCATCAAGAACAAGATTAAAACCCTTTAAATTCCCAGTCGTAAGTAGAAGATCTAGGGATGCACAATAAACAGTAGAAGATTTAGGTACTTGGAATTTACCAATATTTTTTTAAAAAAAAATTATTAAAAGCACTAGCGATTCTCAATTAATAATGCTTTAAATTAACACAACAAATACTCTTGAAAATTCCACGAATAAATGTTTTTGGTAATTCGAAAACTGCTCTCAAACACAAAAATTTCAAAACAATTTGGGAAGTTTTCACCCAAATTAGAAAAGTTTGAAAGGGAGGAAAGATAAGGTTGAGGATGAAGTTTTCTCAAATTGGTAATTCACCAAGAGTAGAAATCTTAATCGAGTAAAAGACTGTTTGGCCAATATATTTTGGGACATATAAATCGTGCACGTAGATTGTAGAGGAGGATTGGGGCTTTGCTCCTCATTACCGATTTAATCTTTGTTTTATAAAAATCAAAGCCCATTAACATTGAGTAATGCACAATATCTCTACTAAATAATAAAACACTCATTGTCAACCAAAACTTTATGAAATTACCAGTTTAACTCTCTAATTAAAATAAAATACGAATAAGAAATATGAGACAGAAATGTAATTTCACACAACCAAATTTTTCTATTTTTTTTCAAAGCCTCATCTACATGTAATCCTAACATATTTCTAATTAAAAATAAATAAATAAATAAAACTTCCCACCCCACATTCTCTATCACTCTCTTCCTCTCTCCTTCTATTTCAAAAAATAAAAATAAATTTTTTTTCTCACACACTTTGCGTGTCCATTTGCTAGTTTTAATTAGAAGAAATGTTCCCTTCGTTTCAAAAAAAAAAAAAAAAAAAAAAAGAAGGGGGGAAATGTTCTCTTGGTCATCTAGTGACCAAAGAATCTATAATTATACACTATTAGGTTTTGATATTAGGGGGTGATGACTAAATGGATTTGCTTTTAACGTTTTAATATCAATTTTTATATAATGATATCAAATTCAATAATAGGTGATCATGAGTCCTTAATCAACAAATGACCAATAAAATGAGACACATATTTTGACTTACGGAAATATTACTTCTTATGATTGAAATTATTAATTACCGCCTCTTCTATTTCATGTAGCATGGACCACACTCTTTCAAGGTACAACAAGGGGGGCCCAATAGAGCATCCACAAAAAGAGCGCTCCGGTGACAATGAACCTGTAATGCAGGTTTGCGATGCATGCATGCCGCATGTGTACATCAATTAGAAATTTAGAACAAACAGTGCTTAATTTTTTTTATTACTTTTACAAATAGAAATTTCTTACATTCTGATGTTGAACAAACAGGCAACCAACTCTAACTGTAATGTAAATGCACTACAGAATGAGATTGCAACACTACGCTTGACATGCACGTAAGTCATTTTTTGATGTTGTCACTTGCAGATACCTTACTGATTAAAATTAAGAATTAATACTACTTGAATGTTTCATGGTTAATAAAAAATGTCATGGTTCTGTTATATATACTGAAGACAGAGTATCATGTTGGATTAGTGTGATGTGCTACTAATTAGAATTTAAAACGATGAACCTTGTTTGACCAGTACTATACAAAGGGAATGACTCATTTTACTCATTTACTAGTATGTATTGTATGATTTTGTGCATATGATATTTTTATGGTTTTATTAGTAATAGGATATAGTAGAATTTATTTTATATGTTGAAGTGATGGGTTTGGCATGTAGCAAAGGATATGTAGGAGTAAGCTTTAGTTCATAACATATATGCAGGTTTACACAACTTATTAAATTGGTAAATACGTCTGGTTAGGGTGAGTAATATTCGAGACAATCACGATTCACAACACACTAACACAAAATGCCACTGCCCTGGTGATGCTAGTATAAAATTTATTCTTATATTTGGAAAATAGTTTCTCATAGGGGTGCAAATTTGGGCGGGTTGGAAATTCTAATCTAGTCTTTACTATTCGGGATGGTTTCATGTGGGTTTAGTTGGGTTCAAGTTTTAATTAGGTTAATGTGTTTACTCGGGTTGGGTTTGACCAACTTTATTTAGTTCAATTTTTTTTAATTTAAACTAAATAATGTCAATCTTAAATTAAAATTTCATTTACACATTATCATCCACACAAAAGTTAAAGTAAATAAGTTGGAGACTATTTCTAATGTTTTAACCATGCAAAGTTAAGATATATACCAAAGCTTCAACAAACAAAAAAAGTGTAAAGTAACACTATGATTCATTATCCATATGCAAATTGACAATAAACTTCAAGTATATTCATTTCAAATTTTATACATAACTTATATAATATAAAGTGGGATGAAAAAAAAATATGTGCATGATCGAATTCAAACTCATAATCGAGTTAAGTTTGGCTTGATATAGGTTGGCAAGGTATCAACTCACTTCAGGTTGACCCAACCCAAGTTGCACTTCTAGTTCAATATGTAAATTTAGTTGATTAGGTATGAGTGATCATTTAAATTTTATTGAAGCAAGTGGCGAATTACCTTTCTTTTCAACTCATCCCTCTCCCTTAATGTAAATTAGTGTAAAATATCGTGTATACTAAAAAAAACTAAATTTAATTGTAAATAAATTGTAGATAGAATATTTATGGAGCTTTTACATCTTAAATTTACATCCCTTTATTTGGATGTAAAACTGATTTTTTTTATTTTTAACAAACGATATTATCTACACTTAGGGACTGGGGGAGTGGGCTAAGCTTCACAATGGCTAGTAATAATGTGATTCAAATTTTCTTTTGACGAGAATCGAACCTAAACCCTCTCACTTACAAGTGATTTTAAATATAAACTCTTAAATTCGTGCTCTTCTGATATTTCTACTTGTACAGGCGGATGACGGGTAAGGAACTGGACGGCGTGAGTTTGAAAGACCTGCAGCGTCTAGAGGACCAACTAAGTGAAGGGATATTATGTGTCAAGGACAAGAAGGTAAACTTTTCCTAGCAAGTGAAAAGTATTCTTGAGTGCTTTGTTTATGTAGTGAGAAATGAAACGTTACCAAGATTGTCTCAAACTTTAACTCCTCCCAACCATTTTATTGTATTTTATTTGAAAAGACTAAGTATTTCGATTCATAGGACTTGACTGAACATTTTCTACCATTGCAGGAGGAAATACTTATGGAGAAGCTCAAGAAGTCCAGATTACAGGTAAACTAACCACAGTAACCATCTCTGTTAAGCACGTTTCTCTTTTTCTTCCAATAATATTAGCTCCAGCATATATAAGAACCCTAGACGTACGGATGCAAGATCAGATGTCACAAATTCCCCTTCTTCATTATTCTTGGCATTCTTGCATGACCAGGTATTGACATGCATCCTAAACATCGGCCATGAAGGATTTCTGTTTACCTGATGTTACTCTTCCTACCTTAAATTTTGATTGTATATATTGAAAACGGTTGTACTAAAGGTTTCGTGCTTTAGTGAATTTCTTGGCATCCAAAAAAAAGAGAAAAAAAAAAAAAAAATCTACCTTACCTTGTAGAGCAAGGAACGATTGGTGGCATTCCATTAGACCTTCCAACACATAATCGACGTGGAATTCCGTGCTTTTAGTTGTGCTTTCTTACTTTCTTTGTACCTTTTTCTTAAATCAAAAGATTTACAGAAATTTTCATAGTTCAGGAAGATATATATTGGCCAATACAAGAAAGCGATGGTCAAGCCAAAGTAGTTTTTTTTATTTTTTTTATTTTTTATTTTTTTTTATTTTTTATTTCTCCCTTAACTAATGTTTATTTAATTTTTTAATTAAAATTTGTATTATTCTCAGGAACAAAAGGCCATGGAGGAGAGCGAGAATCTGCGCAAAGAGGTTAGCATTAAACTTCATCCACGTATAGACATATAGCGAAATCTTCTTCACAGAATATAATATAAAACTGCAACATCGTTTAATTTTTTTTTTTTTTTTTTTCACTAATTAATTTTATGATATATAAATTAGCTTGAGGAGATGCGGCAAAATAAGAGGTCGAATTGGCCAATTGTGGTTGCATCCCATCCTTTGGAGAGGAGGTTTTCCTGCACAAGCTCTAAAGCCGTTTCCAGTTACAAAGCAGAAGAAAGTGACCATTCAGACACTTCTTTGCATTTAGGGTACGTATATATGCTCTTCATTTCATTTCTTCATCCATATCCCACATTTCTCCTAAAAATATATTAGTTTCTTATTACAAATATATTTTCTTTTGACAAAGTATAATTTAACCTAAAATCTAATACACGAAAGGAAGAATTCAGATCTTTGTTATTAAAATTGCATTAAACTAAAAGGCTAGACATGTTTTTTTATATTTTACTTGTTAGTGTGCGGCTTACCACAAGTCTCTGTTCTTAATATAAAATTTTATTGTACAAAAAAATATATAACATTTTCTCTTTACAACAGAGCTCAAAATATCAAACTTTTACGAACTCTAATTGTTTAAAGTTCCAGAGAAATACATGATATTTATCTAGCAAACATTTCATTGGTTATATAGGTTATCGTCAGATATTCATCGCAAGAGGAAGGCGGCTAAGATTGAACACAATTCTAACGATTCAGGAAGTCAAGTGGCCTCAGACTAATATCGTTGAAGAGTTGTTTTCCCATTCCAATTTTTCTCATTAGTTTAGACTTTTGTTGTTCTGCTTGTTAGTCTTGTAACTCTCCGTTAATGAGTTAAAAGTTTTTTCTTGAAACATGTAGACATATATACAGATCATCAAAGATTCTACATAAAAATAACTAAGCGCAAATGGGTTAGTAAGTTAATAAAGCGCTAACAACTTATTTATATCCACTCCACAATGAGATCTCATGATTCAAACCGCACTTGAGTGCTACACGCACATATAAGCAAAAATATTAAACAGATATTGGAAAATAATAGCGTTTTTATGAAAAACAAAGAATTCTTTCTGGACACCCAAATTCATATATTCATGTACCCTTCACTTGTCCATCACTATAGCCCAATACATACTATGAACAACTAAGTTTTATATGAACAAAATATGGGTTAGGCCAGCTAATTAACCTAGTTTCTTAGGCTTCTTGCACTCATATCAGTGCACGACATATTGTGAAGGGAGCTCAGTATATGCCCTATCACTAGTAGAAAAAACAGCTTGCGCGACGAACAATATTTCGTCGCACAAGAATACTTAGTGCGACAAATACTTGTTGTCATCGCATAAAGTCAACAAGAAAACGTGGGGTAATTTTTTTGGCGCAAAAAACTTGTGTGACGAAAAGGGGGCATTTGCGCGACCAATGATTCATCGCGCAAGTTCCTGTCAGTTTTGAGTTTTGACCATTTACTGTAGGTGAATCAGAGGAATCAATACCGCATTTAATACAGATATTTGCGCAACAAAGCCTTCGTCGCACAAAGGTCCTAACCTTCCTATAAATATGCGCATTTTTTGTCCTTATTCTTCACAAATCTGCTCTCTTTATTCTTCACAATTCTGTTCGTGCTAGGATGGCAGATAAAAAAAGGATGAGAGTGTGCGCGACGCCAACCCGCATGATTTGAGGGAACATTTTGAGTTTGCGCATACGATTGCTATAGCCATAGGGAATTATTGTCCCACTGTTGAGTGGCGTTCTTGGGAAGATGTGCTTGAGAATGTGAAAAAGGTTGTGATGGATGAACTATTAGTAAGCATATTGTTGATGGATCAATAATTAAGTTTGTGAAATTTTTAGTTATATGTTGGAATTAATTATTTGCATATATGTGTAATAGTGTAAGTATACTCTTGATGATGATACGAACAAACAGTTGATGAAGTTGATGGATGATGCGTTGGAGAGAGGTTACAATCGATGGCGTTATGAAGTCTTGCGGAATGGACCAGGACCATCCAAATAGTAGTTTTAAATTTATGTTTTGTATGACAATATTTAAATTTTAGGTTTTTTTTTATAAGTTATGTATTTGAACTTAATTTGGCTTCAATTCCCGTTGGTTTTTTTTTTTTATTAAGACCTAATGTAAGCACCCTATCCTCGGTTTATATGTGTTTTCAATCTTCAATGAATATCGTACTTATGCTAAAAATAATTGTATAGATTAAGGCATTAATTATTTATAGAATAAATATTTAAGGTATTAATTATTTATAGAATAATATTTCAGGTATTAATTATTTATAGAATAAATATTTCAGGTATTAATTACTTTTAGAATAAATATTTAAGGTATTAAATATTTTCTGAATATTTGTTTGTAATTATAAAGTTTACATAAACATAGATATCTATGTTTATGTAAACTTTATAATTACAATCATTTCATTCATCGCACAATATATTGCGCGATGCTACTTTCATTGCGTAAGACAGCTTTGCGCGACAAACATCATATATTTGTTGTGCAAAGCACGATCATACTGTGTTCAAACCTTCCCATTTATTGCGCATTTATGACGCATTTGGCACGATGAACATGGAGATTTGCACGATGAATGGGTTCGTCGTGCAAAGGTGTCTTAGTGCTATAAAAACACAGTTGCAAAACACTAGTTTTCAAAAAAAATTTGTTTAAAAAAAATGGCCGATTCTGGAGAAAGTTCTAGCAAAAAAAAAACTGTAGTGCGATCAGAGAGGTATCAACGGAAACAAGTGCCGTATTTTGAAGGCAAAAATATGGCTAAGGCATACGTCTAATTTAGCTATGACATTGGGAATTTGGTGTGGAGGGATTGTTCTGCCGAGTTTGAGTCTTAGAAAAAGGTCTCTGAGGAGTTGAAGAAGTCCTTGCTGAGGGACTTATCGGTAAGTTTGTAGCAAATAATGAACAATTATTTTTGTTAAAACATAATATGTAACATCCCACATTGCCTAGGGGAGTGGATCCTGTAAGCCTTATATGTATATTCTCATCTCTACCTAGCACGATGTCTTTTGGTAGCTCACTGGCTTCGGAATTCATTGAAATTCCGAAGTTAAGCGAGTTCGCGTGAGAGCAATCCCATGATGGGTGGCCCACTGGTCTTGTGTGAGTTCCCAAAATCAAAACCGTCAAGGTGTGGTAGGGGCCCAAAGTGGACAATACCATGCTACGGTGGAGTGTGGGGCGGGATGTGACATAATATTTTTTAAATTACTAATTTATTGTTATTGGCATTAATGTAGGTTCATTAGGATGTTGATGAAACCGATGAGAAGCAACGAGTTTATGTGGATGGGCTTTTCAAGCAAAGTTTCCGACAATGGAAGTTTAAGTGTTGCGGGCGAGGGACGATTGAAGTTGAGGAGGGTTGTTTTTTTTTTTTTAAAGATTTTGTGGACATTATATTTAATTTAATTAATAAATTTATGTTATGTGGATGAGTATTAATATTTACATTAATTATAATTTCTATTTGGGATAGTAAATTAGTTTTGTTAATTAATTTAATGTTTAATTAGGTTTGAGTTTTTGATTTATAATAAAATAAAAATTTACAAAACATACAAATAAAACAGACAAAATATAAAAAAAAATATAAAAATATGTATTGCGCGATGATACATATTTTCGTCACGCAATTTGTTGAAAAGAATAAATTGTAAAGTAAAGGAAATAAAATAAAATAAAAATTCTAAACTTGCGCGACGAATGTTTCTTTCTTTGTTGCGCAAATAACATTTGCGCGACAAAGACCTTGTTCGTCGGGCAAAAGCATTCGTCCAAAGTGAACTTTTTAATCTGGATTCAGCCATGTGTAGAGGCCAATTGCAAAAAAAATTGCAGATTGTGCCTCTGCACTCATCCCTTTGAATTTGCTCAATCCGGCATCCATCATTGTCTATAGGGATATTGTGTGTGATTAGTGATTGGTGGAGAGCGATTGAGAAGGTATTTTCTTCATTTTATTTTTTTAAAATATAAAATTAATTAAATTATCTTGAACATAGTTTGTTATGTTTATATTGTGTTGTGAAATTATATTTATATTATGTTGTTAAATTTGTATGTGACGTACAAATATGAATTGTGATGTACAGAGTTAATTGAAATTAACTTCGTACTTGTTTTTTTATGTTTAGTAAAACATAGTTTCCCGTTCGATGATTATTTAGATTTTGCGCATGGATGCAAAAGCATGACTGCAGTCCAATTAATTCTTAAATTGTCCTATTATTTGGACAGTTTGGGAATACACTGTTATGACGCGTAGTTTATGGTTGAAGGATTAGGTTTTGGTTATGGAGATTTCAATGTCATCTCTGTACGTCCTTCAGGTGGTACATAGGTATTTTATATCTGCGTTGTACACCTAAAGAACTGTATCGAGATGCTACCGAAATTCATCCATGTCAAAATCTAATATGATGTAGTCATAAATTACGTGACATGGCTATGCATTCCTGAACATGATAAGGCCCTTACTGGAGGCATAAGGTGACATTATCCTTTTGTATGAAGTTGTTGTGATTGTTGTATTGTTATTGTGGTTCCAAGAATTATGGACAGGACGTGGATACAGAACCTGAATAGATGCGCGAATAAATACTTGGATGGAATCGAGGATTTTATTGACTTTGCATGTACACACAACCTGGGTGCAACTAGAATCTGGTGTCCTTGTAGGAGGTGTAACAACACGTTAAGGGAGACAATTGAAAATGTTCGATTTCATTTAGTAAGGAATGGAATGATTGAGACATATAATACTGGGAACCATCATGAGGAACAATTAGACAATGCTTCGTCTTCAAATGCCACAAGAGTGGACAATGTTAAACCTATTGTGGATCCTAATGAACAAGTCATGGATATTATAAATGATGCTTTTCCATTTGCATCGACAAAGACCAATCAGGAAGGGGAAGATGATATGCCTACACCAATGGATAGTGCAGAGTTCAAACAATATGAAAAACTATTAAAAAATGCTAACCAAGAGTTACACCTGGGGTGTGAGAGCTTTTCCGTTCTCACGGCCATTGTGGAGCTAATGCACGGAAATATAAAGTATCATATGTCGAACCAGTATTTCGATTACTTTTTGGGGTTTTCAAGAGAATGCTTCTGAAGGACAATTGTTTGCCAAAAGGCCATAGACATGTGCAAAAGGTGTTGTATGATCTTGGATTAGGTTATGAAAAAAATTCACGCTTGCAAAAATAATTGTATTTTACTCTACAAAGAGAATAAAGCATTGGATAAATGCCCTGTATGCAATGAGTCGAGGTTCAAAATGACATCTTAGAATAGAACGACTAAGTTCCTATAAAAAGTCATACGTTATTGTGATTGTAGATAGGGAGGCATGGAAAGAGTTTGATCGAACGTTCCCTGAGTTTGCTGTTGATCCCCGGAATGTTAGATTGGGACTTGCCCTTGACGGATTCAATTCGTTCGGGGTTCTAAACCAACACCACAGCACTTGGCCGATTTTCGTGTTCCCATATAATTTGCCGCTTTGGAAATGCATGAAAAAAGAATACATGATGATGACCATTTTGATAACTGAGGATCCTGACAGGTCAATCGATGTTTACTTAAGGTCGTTAGTTGATGAGCTTAATGATTTAAAGATAAATGGTGTGCGCACGTACAATAAGTCCACTAGGAAGATGTTCACTTTGCGGGCAACAATTATGTGGACTGTGAACAATTTTCCTGCATATGCAATGGTTTATGGGTGGATCACTAAGGGTTATATGGCATACCCTGTATCCAAGGATGTTGTAACATCTAGTTGGCACGTTGGAAAAGTTTGTTATTTTGGTCATCGAAGATAGTTGCCATGGGACCACGAGTGGCGGGAAAAGGATAAAGAGTTCGACGAGAATACA